AAAAAAAGCTCATGTTACGAATCAAAAATCTAAGCAAGTGTTGAGAGGTTATCAGCAAAAGACGCTCCACTAAAATACTTAACTTGTGTTTCCCTTCATAGAAAAAAAGCAAGACGAGAAGTGACTTTACTCCACCTGAGAACGGCTACTATATGTTTTGGAGATAAAAATCAACATAAGTGGACTGATATCGACTCGAAAGCGGAAATTTCCAACAACTAGAAGCAAGGTGTACCTCCCGCCAAACCGCGTACAACGAAGATAGCTTTTACTTGACGGAAAGCTGTTCGCATACTATGAACCATGTCTGGCACTCGATTCAGCACATAGATGCACATTGATAGCATTACCAAAGAGCAGGCAACATTGTGTGCTAAAACACAATCAAAAAGTTCCTCTGCTGAACGAAGCATGACATTGTTACCTAGAATGAGTTTGTCCAGTGGAAAACCACACATTCTAGCAACAATGGGAAGAGTAAAAACAGTGAGAAATGCTCGACCAACGTCACTCTCTAGACCAAGGACACAGCTCTGCACGACGCTCAACATCAGCTAAATCACGATCTATTAATGAAGAAAATAGTATTAAAAAACCGTGCGTACCTGCGCCAAGAAATGGAATCCGTGCCGCTCTAGCTTTACAAAATCATCAAGTTTGAGTTCTTTATCTTCTGTATTCTGTTCGAGATAAACATAAGTTGTCGACATGTAATGTGCAAAAGCGAATATCAGCAGGCTAAGTGCATGTCCATACAACTTGAAAAGCTTCGTCAGCGGCAAAGTGAGGAACATGACACTGAGGAAAAGCACTAAAATATTGTTAAACTAGGCTCAGGGAGATGCAAAGGTGGTTTAGTTGTTAGCAATAGATCATGACTTTGAAAAGATAATAAAGCTGTACTGCATTGCTAAAAACTCAAAGTTCATGAACTATGTTGACTTTGAACAAAACACGATAGGAAAACAAATTCAACTTATATTCTGACAGCACGTATTCATTTCAAAAAGCACCGACACTACACAATATTGCCAAAAATCTGGATAGAATTTTGCTGGAGCGATATGACGGTTAAAAACAGAACTAATTTTTCTTTTATACAGTTCATTCAGCCCTTCTATGGGTATGTGGTGAATACATGACAGAATGTGGCGAGCCTGACCCCACGTTCATTAAGGACTTGTTCTGCCTGATGTTCCAACGATTACGAAACTATGGCAATTGCAAAGCAATGTAGAGTTTGTACCTGATGCGAAGCTCTGAATCAACCAGTTTTTTTCTATCTCCCGCAACTCAAAGCATTCCACAAAGGCTACATTCTCAGCATGTAAGCATCAACTCAATTGCTCCCGCTGGATTTATATAGAAACCCTGACAATTCCGCAATTCGCTAAGGCGAAGAGCAACTAGTTCTCCCTTCTTCTTTTCTCCTTTCCTCATCTCTTCCCTTCCCTATAAATTCGAATTGAATATTAGTTGAACCACAAGCTGGCAACATTTGAAGTTCAAAAATGGGGAATTGACAGTGAAGGAGTTGCGAGTTTGAAACGTTGGTACAAACGGAACAGAAGGATTGACGTTCTCCGAACAAATTGCATTTGTTTCTGCTTTCGTGAAGTTCTGGCCTTGATAATATCACTATGCAACTTCAGCTCACAGCACAATTGTCTAACGGAAATCTTTGAATTTTTTCTCGATAAATGCTGAATGGGGAGCCCTTAAGTACTAACATAAAAGCTTGAAAAAATCTTCTTTCCCTCCTTCCGCTCTTCCTCCAAGAATCCTGAGTATAGGGACTGACTCCTGTAGAACTATCATTGAAAACAATTTTTAAGTAGGTAGTTTTCAATATGCTTAAGCCACAGACATTTTGCATGGACTTAATTAGCGGCGATCCAACATTCCAGCAAAATCGTCGTTTGAATGGCCTTCACTCCTCGCACAGGATGTTACGTTGCGAGCGTCCCCTAATGCCACAAATGCCAGTTAGTAAGTGTATTATAGTTAGCCCATAACAAAATCCAGAGACGATGTTACAGCGCCAAAAAGAGCATAAGATTACCAGATCATGCTTTTGCCTCACAGGCTACGCCTTAAAAGCACCCTAGTACTATGATCTAATAAATAAACAGAAGAAAGTTCATCTTACCTGAATAACTCAGTATCAGAGCGGCCGAATTATCAAAATTCCTCCTGTGCACAAAATCAAGAATTGTAGAGATATCAAGATAAGAATTGAAAGGAGCCTAGATAATCTAACAAAAATAAGTTAGAGCTCAAAGAATATGACAACAGTCACCTTATTTAACATCTCTTGTGTTATTTCATCAAAACTGATGTCCCGATTCCTCCACCATAGTTCTAGCAATATTAGTCCAGGTAATCGTAACATTGTCTCCAGCACGCGCACAGCGATTACTCGGCAAATTTGGAGGCTTTCGTGTATGGCATCTTCATCATGAATATCAGGAGGTAAGTGCATATCCAATAAAGGATGTTCGTCCATGTTCTGAAAGTAATTAAGGACAATTCATAACAAAATAGGGAGATATTCAGAATCCTTACATCTTCCGCTTTCAGAAAATATATAACTTCACTCACAGTGCTCCAATTTTTCTAGCTTTTTTATACCGCTAAGAATTGCCCAGAATAGTCTGAAATTCAATTCATGAAAATCGTATGTATTTTCGACAAGATTCACTTCCGTAAATGCAGATAGGTGATCGGCATACGGATCACCTAATAAGAGTATGATGATGATTATTTGAGCTTAGAAAAAGGAGTAATTCTGCGCCATTTGCAAATGTAGGATTTGATCATTACTACTATAATTCTACATAGGTTGCAATGATACCAATTAACCATTCGAAACAATCTCTGTAAAGTTTCAAAAAATCGTGATTTTGACCTCCTCTCATCTATTCACTATAATCCTATAACTTACAGTAATGAAGATGCAAGATGCTGAAACTTGCTGCCTCTTCTTATTTAAGCCTAAGGAACTTCGGTCTCTCTCGCGCCAGTAACTGCTGCCTACACTGATGCAACCCTAACACTTTCTAGAATAAAGCCAAAATCCAAGATAT